ATAGAAATTACAGGGACACGTGTTATCTCCAGCAGAGGTATACTGAATAACCTTGAAGAAGCTATCTCATGTCCAAGCTGAGAGATGCAACTTTTGTCCTGAAGTATACACTTACACAACTGTTTGACAGACATGAGTGACCTTTTGTTGCATATTTGACTGATCTGTCTCCATAGTTCTTTGTCCAGTCTTCTGAGGTTTGACTGTGGTCTGTGAGCTCTGTGGCAGAGAGTATATAGGTATTTCTTTGGTTAGGCCCTTCCAAGACTTCTGCTTTCAATGGAAACTCAAATAGGTAATAAAATGTTATCTATGCTAATTCTACATTCTGTTAAATATAAATTACCTGCAAATTTGTCCATTAATTTGCATAAATGGCTTTATGATATGCTATGCAGAGTCATAGATTTGAACTTTTTCAAAAGAAATATTTTCAACAGAGGCAGTCTCGGTCATCTTAATTTAATTTATTATGACTTCTCAGTCTCATATTTGCATTTTACTTGAAGAGATAAAACGATATTACCATCCCAAAACTGCTGAAGAGTATATGAAATGTCTCAGATCATCATTACTTACCATTAAGAGGTCAAACTTTGCTATGTTTAATACCTGAAAGACAAAGATAAGGAGTTTCTAAACATTTCAAGAAGTAGTCCTAGGTCTTTTAATTAAAACAGTCTGCAGTGGGTATATCCTCCAGAAGCTGCCTGGGAGGGCTTCCACAGGTTAGGAACTGAACTAACTTAATTTATATGGATGCAAATAAAGGCAGTGAAGCAGCAGAGAACTCTGTGAAACCAATTGGCAGAGAGCCATCTGTTAAGCAACCACAATTACGTCAAAGATATCTAAAAATATATCAGTTGATTTGGGAACATAATGCCCTAACTCCAATAAAAAGGCACTTTGAAAACAATCAAAAATGTTTTTTAAAATAAATTACACTTGCTCATATAGCAATGAAATGTAAGAAGAACTGCTCTCATAGACATTGTTAGTAAGTCCTGAATATTTCCATGAAATAATTATTTGTTAGTCTCTATTTCTCCTCTATGGAGTAGAAACTGCTGTTTTATTTCAGTGCCATTGTGTCTGTCCCTGGTTTCCCCACAGCCTGACACCTCTATCATGTCCTGTCTTCCTCTCTGCTTCTCCTGAGTTTCTCCCTCGTGTATTGTCCATCCAAGCCACCTTGTGCAGTCTTATTTCCATCCCACTCACTTCATCCACTTGCTCTCACTCTACTCTCATCCCTGCCCTTCTGACAATCCTGCTGCTTGGACTTCCTCTCTGCAATTCTTCCTTTCTATTTAGGCTTCCTTCTTCCCATATCCCCTTCTCCTGTCTAAACTACATACCTCTCCTTTCTTTGTGACTTCCAGATTAGCCTTTCTGCATTTCTGTGTCTCTCCTGAACTCTTGCTTTTACCTTCAAATGCGTCCACTGCTGTGGAACTCTCCTCTTCCACCTCCAGCTTGTATGCATCTGTCTTCTTTGTACAACCACCTTATGTGGGAGAAGCTGGGGACACTTCCTTGCTGTCATTTTGGTATTTTATGCAAATTGACTCCAGTATTGTCCACCTACTTTTTATATAGTCATCAGCCTCAGGTTTGAGAAATCAGTGTATAGCTTCAATCTTGATGAAGGCATCAGTGTGACAGCTCTGAATGAAATCTCGTAATTTTTTCCTGCTTCTGCCCACATAGTATTGTCGTCATCGCTGTTGTAAGAGAGCCAGGGGCAACAGCCTTGATTTATGATTCATTTTGTATCAATACTATGGGCCCCTGCAGCAGGCAAAAGCTGGCTGATGGTGAGACTACCAAGAAAAAATTGCCCATGAGACAAAGCTTAACAATCTTAATTCAGCCTTGCTAGAGTACTGGTAAAAGGTGAAGGTGCTGAGTCACTAATTCTTTAATAGTTTGCATGCAGGTAGATGTTGGTACCAGACAGTTAATTCCTGAGCTGGACACAGGTGAAAATCTAGTTTTGCCATCTCTCTTCCACTCTTCCTTCAAACCTGAGAGAAGTATTAGAAAACCTGACCACCAGCACTTTGGTACATTGTTAGGTGAAACAAAGAGTTGTTACAGATAGAGGCAAAGTAAACAAAGAGTTGTTACGGATAGACACAAAGTATCTGCAAATCACTGCAGCACCTCTAATTTTGTTCATATATGTATAGCTAATTAAGAGTGTGCTTCCCAGTGTGATGGTGATTTCAGTTCCAGTACGCCACATCCAAAGAGTGGACTTTCCAGTGGCTGATTTCAAGAGCAGATGTCACTGTAAAAATTGTTTACTTAGCAGCAGCCTTTTTTGGTTACATCCATCCAGTCAGGCTGCAAATACGAAAAGAGGAAACATTCCCCTATTTGTAGAAGTCTGCCTGCAGTAATAAATATAAGCATATATATTTTGAAACAGGTATTTTTAGAAACTAATGTTGAGGGCTGTACTGCTGTTTGGAATTTCTGCCCTTTCAGATTTTGTTGCTTAGTCTATACATTTTTAATAATCACATTGCCTGCTAGCAGTGACATTTTGTGAAGGTCATTTTTCTTGTGAAGTTGGAGAGTGGACTTGAATTTCATTGAAGGACTCCCCGAGCTGCAGGATCATTGTTTATGGAACTCTTTTGCATCTTGTACTACCTTTGAAGCCTGTTTAGAATTCTAACTAATGATATCTTCAAAGTGTCACTGCGCTCAAGGGCAAAAAAGAAATCTCAAAATGCACTTTATATTTAAAACCAGTTTTGAATAGCTTTGAAGCATGGTAGTAGCTGAAATAAAAGGCATAGATAGACTTACTATGTATGCACACACAGAGAATTCCATGTTTCACCAACTTTTTCATTGTCAGCAAATTGTCCCTTCACCATTGCAACGCCTTTTTCTTCTGTACTATAAAAATCATCAGGTCTATGGATAGTCTTAAAAATTTTTAATGTGATTGATAATTTAATACCTCAGCAGGTATCTGTAGGCAATCCCCTTCAGTGTAGAGGTTTTAGTTTTGTCTACATCATTCGTAGCCTGCTGCTTCTCATTTCCGCTGTGTAGAAATACAGACCCTGCGTTGTATTTATATGCCTTTTCTGTTTGTGAGTAGAGGATGGCAGATACTAAAACCAACATGCTATACTTGAAATAAAAGAGACTGTGGTGTCAGCTACTGAATTAAAATTGCTTGGTTTTCATAGAATCACAGAATCGTTTTGCTTGGAAAAGACCTTTAAGATCATCCAGTCCAACCATTAACTTAACATTACCAAGTCCATCACTAAACCAATTAAGGGGAGAGTAGCAATTTCATGTTTCCTGGCTTGGTGGCTGGATTATTTATAATGAAAGTATAAACTAGGAATCATTAAGATTGGAAAGGATGTCTAAGATCATCATTCCAATCATCAACCCAACACCACCATGCCCACTAAACCATGTCCCAAAGTGCCACATCTACCCGTTTTGTATAAACCAAAGTTCCTGCTTCCCACAACTGAGCGCATACCAAGTTTGCTTATTAATAAAAGATCTGAAGGTTTATTTGGTAGCTGTATCTGATGTCTTCTGATACTGACATAGTCCTTTAAAACATGTTAAATGTTAGTGGCAATGTTTGAGAATATGGCCACTTGAATACCTGTACTGTTCAGGGATATTTTTTTGTTGTTTTATTTATTGCTTTCTGTAAGTGTTTTAGCTGTATGGGTAGTATAGGACTCCTGCATTCTTCTCATAGGGATGCCATTGAGTTAATTCTGTCATTTTCCTTCTCTATGACTTTGTTTTTCTATTTGTAAACTAGGAACTTACAAAAGCACAAGGATGTGATTTATAATTTAATCTTTCCTGCAAAGTAATTTGTCTGGTTTTCTTCCGTTGTATTCTTTTGCTATATCAAACTGCCAAGAAAATTTAGCTTATTCAGAGTGTCTTTATATTTAAGATATGCTTTTCAATTTCTATTTTGATAGCTGTACCATCAAAGCGTTGTAGTTTGCCTGGATGTTTTACAATGGATTTCACAGTTTTATGAGCATTGCTAACATCTTAGTTGTGCCAAATAACTTAGAATCTTGTTTCAGAACATGAAACAAGATGATCCACTGAACAGCAACTACTGTGAAGGAAATGAAGAGAGGTTAGGACTGTAACCTGCCTTTGAGGTGTTATGTCCTAACTGAAGTTAGATGTTGGGAGACTGGACAGATTGTGGGTTTGAGAAAATTTGTGTTAGGAAGTAAGGACAGAAGGTTGTGCATGTCCCAGAAAAATAATTTTCCATCTGATTCCCTGTGTAGAAAAAGACCAAAAAGACAAGAATTTTCAGACTCTGCTTCCAGGCTTCTTGATGCCCACTGCATATGGACCGCTTGTGAATAAAAGCCACCAGCCTGTTTGGAACCGCTGTTTTGCTGACATGATCAAAAGGGAAGGCCTCAGCCTTGGGCCATTATCATTACCATTTTACTATTTGCCTGCCTGCCTGCTACATGGGCTTCCCTTTGCAAATTTTTTTTTCCTGTCTTCCGCGCAGACTGATTCACCCTTCTCATGCCTGGGAAAATCTCAATGGGAAAATGCACATGAAATTGATGAGGAAGAGAAGGCAGTTACATTTGGTCTTTTCTTTGCTTATTCCCAAACATTCTTTCCTTTCTGTTAGAGGGAGTTGTTATTTATGTGGTGTTGGTTAACATTTCCTATATATATATAGGGTCCTGACTTTTAACATTTTCTATAGGGGTCTTCACAGTACAGCTAACAGTGCTTCTTCCCAACCCCTTGTCTT